TGAACCAGTCAATCCATCAGTGAAGGGATTTGAATAGATGAAATTAGCTGTGGGCAGCTTAATCATCAGAAAATTACTGGCTGTATTTTGAAGGACAAAGCAAAAGAGGTATGTTTTTCCAAATTTGAAAATACATTTGGGGGGAAAAGTCTTTTATACTTAGAAGTCATATTGTTTCTTTTCATCTAGTTATAACCTACCTAACCCTTCATATACAGAAACAACAAAGGAATTTGTATAATTTAACTCTGTACAACTATTTGGAGCTTTGAAACAAGTACAAATGTTCTGTACTGTACTGTAACTGTTTTAATCTTGTTTCAGAACAAGGAATTTTAGCTGTGCAAGCTACAACATTGATTCATCTGGATAGATGAAATACGAATAGCAATAGCAGTAGAGGAAATTCTGTTGACCTGACTTCCCCTCCTTCTCACTGCTCCTGACCGTGAACACCTCAACCTCCCTCGCAATACTTCAGATAAAAGAGGCTCTGCTATGTGAACAGCATTTGCAAAACTGTTGCAAATCTAAGGCCTTCTCAGAGTGCAGTATTTCAGGTGATACATAATACAGTTGTATATGGTCATCTGAATCTAAAAAAAGAAAGTCTATATAAAGCACGTTTGAACCGGAAAATCAGGAGTGTTTTCCCTTGAAAATGGACTATAACAATATGAATGTGCAACGGTATGCAGGCACCACAGTCATCACCACCAGGTGAATATCACTTTCACTCTATAAGTATCCAAGCAGGAGTGATCACTCTTGGATGCAGACTTTCCTACAAATTGTCATAAGGGCATATTAGTATATAAGAATTGTCTAATACAAGGGAAGTGCTGCTGATTGTAAATTTTTCAAATTTTGATTAGTGAAAGAAGTAGTAAGAAAGTCAGTCTTTTTCTACTGTGCAGTGTGCGGAGTCCACATGAAGCTTAAGGCTGCTTCTTGTAACAGAAGAAAATTGTTTTTCTGAGTATTGTTTTTCTGAGCCTGCAAACAGAACCAACCATTCAAGAAAGTTGTAAAGTGATTTGTTCCTTTCCCTGGAGTCACTATTCTCAGATGTCAGAGTTACAATCTAGATGTTAGCATTCTAACATTTCTGGTCATTTTAGAAGAAATATTCAGCTCATGTACTTAGCTGTCGCTGTAGGACAGAATGAAAGCAGTTTGCGGGATTATAACAAGAATTCTCTTTCCTTTTTTTTTTTAAATATGAAATATTGTAAGGGGTGATGTGAAATGCCAACCTCTTGCTTTGGGCCACTTGGAGTAAGATTACGGTGGAAACATTAAACGTGGCAAGGACAGCTACAGGTGTCATTTTTTGATAGAACTATGCTGGCAAAAAGCCCTATTGTAACTGCAGTTTTATGTATTTAAAATGCTTTTTCCAGAACCTTTACTTCAGTACTAATCAAACTCATACATACTCTCTTTCTTTTTTCTCTCTCTGTATTCACATGAGAAGGACTGGTGCAGACCTGAGCTGGAAGAGTTGACAAGCTGTATAAACATGCTGTGTCCCCGCAACATGTAAAGGAGCAGTAAATGCTGTTCTGACCAGTGCTAATGAAATTGCTAAAGTCTCTTCAGCTCTCCAGTTAAACCCTTGACTGTACCAAAGCATTTTTGGTGGTGTGATTTCCTTCCTCAGTGCAAGTTTTATGCTTGAATCCGCACTGCAATGGAATACCCACCATCCCTCTGCCCAGAACAGAGAAGAGTCTTCAGGAGGAGAAATGACCTGCTGAAGGTTTTCTTGACCCTTTTCTTGTTTCCATTTAGAGCTGTGAGGAGTAATTTGTTTACTGTGATCCTGTTTAAAACTTCAGTCTGTATTGCTAGAATTGCGTGAGAGAGAAATTGAGTGGTAATAAACAGGAGAAGCTTATAAGCAAATTAAACTATCAGGACCCTGTAATAGCTCACTTTCAGATCACTAAAACTAATTTATTATTTTCATAAAATCTAAACATCACGGATAATACATATACCAGAAAACTTACAGTCTAAGTAGTTGTCTATTTTTGCAGATATTTAAAATGGTATTTCCAGGGTGTTCTTTTTCTTGCTTGTTCTTTTATTTTTAAAAACACATCTAACTGACACAGAGATCTCAAGGAAGATCTAACCAGGTATCTGATTATGCCAATGAAAAACTGAAATTGGCTATACACAAAATGCTGCTAAATTACCAAAATAAAATAACCTAAAAACTGAGAAAAAAATGTGTTTATATAGAAGTACATTTTTTAAATTTACTGTTAGTTTTATTAGTTAAAGCACACTGTTCTTATACTGCCCATAATCTCGGATATCATTCTGTGTAGTCCACTTAATTAAAAAAGCATAAAATGTATGAATCATAAACGTTACAATAGTAGTTATTTTCATATTTCAAATATATCATTAGGAAATGTCTTCCTTTTTTATTCATGCCTTTTCTACTCTCCACTTAAGACACAAAAAGCAGCATACTGAAATCTCCAAGCAATTTTCAACCTTCAAGTTCAGGAGAGATATGAGGATTAAACTACGGTTTTTAACAGATTCCTAAATTGCGTCCAAGGAAATTTAATAAAACATTGTAATAATAGTTCGAATGGTGTCATTTTAGCTATAAAGGTATGACGGAAACAATTACGCACACCTATCTTAGCAGCATAAATAGATAAAATAAATGTAGAAAACAACACCTCCAGAGAGCTTCATCAAAAGAAATTGTAGGCAGAAAACAGGCCCACAGTCATTTCTAGCCCTTTTGTAACAGATGACACTGGATTCCAGTCCTAGTAGTAATAATTATTAAGCATTTAGGCCTTGAAAACAAGTGTTAGAGCTACCTTGGCTCAAGTGTTCATCTATCAAATGTTTCTTTTCCTAGAACAGCTTAGTGCTTGTATTGTTGCTTTGCAGATTACTTAAAAATGGCTTGGTTGAATGGATGATGATGTGTATTGTGCATGGTGCCTTTCATTGTCCTCATTCTAAGAGAAGCGTTACCTTATATGCTAAAAGCTAACCTGCAGTGTTTGAACTAAAAAAAGTATCTTCTTGTTCAAAGGATGCTGCCAGTTCTGTGCAAATATGGAGGAAGCTGTCAAAACACAATCTAGTTGCCAGAGTACAACTACAAAATTCTTGGTAAAATGCTTTAAAAAGCAGGAAAGACATGACTCATGAGACAGGTGAATTATTTTGCTTACAGAAGTGCAAGGCAGAAACTTGCATATGCTTTTGCATTAAGAATTGTATATTTAGCACAAAAGATTCATTTTCATCTCCTCATCATTCAGGTAGTTCAGTCTGTACTATCACACAGATTATTTTACTGTTTTGTTAGGAAAGGATTTGATCGCGATAAAGGCTTTTTCTCCTCTTGACCACGCTAATCGACTTCCTCGCACAGAAGAACTCATAAACGCTGTATTAGGGTCAATTTCAGGCAAATTCTCCAGCCCTGAAAAACAAATAAGTAAGCAAAAGTTTCAAACTACCAAAACACTCCACTTGCTTAGTTTTGAAATGAAACCATTGCAGAATCTATTTTTGCAGGATTGGGCTTTAGCAAGACCCTGCCTCTACTTAGTCCTTAGCTGTATGTATTTCTCCCCATTTCTGTCACTTCATTAGGGATGAAAACATATTTGCTAGTGAGACTCAATACAAATCATTTTTATGATTCTTCAGCATTGAATTCCTGTGCAACTATTTTGGCATCTAATTGTGGTTGGCATTTAACTGTGTGAATTTCAGAAGATCCTTTTCGTTAAAGAGCTTGCAGTATAGGGCTGTAATATTCAGACCATGTGCCTTTACAGATCCTAACTTCTGGATCCCAGTGTAGTCAATGGGGACAAGCAGCTTCGTAATCTAGCTGTTTTGATTAACTGTGCAAGTTACGTGGGAATTTACTTCTGTCTATTGTTTACATATTCAGTTCACACAGGCTCCTCGCTTCAGTATCTAACTCCTGTAATGCTAAATCTGTTGTGGAACGTTCTAATGTCCCCATTTTGCTTGGCCTACACATACTTTTAGATAAATATAAAAAAATACGGCTGAATTACTCTACGTGCACATGTGTATAGGCTTAATGTTCCTACTAAGGTCTACTGGTTGCGTCTTCTGTGTCATGTTGCAAACAAAGTAATATTCCCAGGAGAGTGGCTGCAGAGGAGGACATCTATTGCCTGTTGGATGTTCGCTCCTGCCTGTTTGGGGTATTTGTGAAGCACTTTTGTGACTTTTTTTTCAATATAGTTTTGACATCCTGGAGTAGAAGTAAATGTTGAGTACCCTTTGAGCTATAAGCATGCAGTTCTCTCAGAGATGGAGGGGAAGTTTACTACACAGAAAATGCGCACTGAGAAAATGTACCTTCCTCTTCTCTGCTCTCATCATATATTCAAATCCCAGGCCTCTTTGGCGCTCTCAAAATTATCATAGGGAATATTTTATTCTTTTACAGGGTTCCTGCTCCTCAGAACTCCAACAGCCTTGCACTGTGCTGCTCACCCAGCGCAGTGTCTGCTGCCTGGGATTAAGACAGCCTTCAGTCTTGATTTGGAAGCCAGACCAAAAGGACGGTGTCATGAGGCTCTGTGAGGGTCAGGAACAAATACTGCTGGTGCAGGAGGACAGTCAGTTTGGAGCCTGGGAAAGGCACCTTTTTGTAGGCTCATAGTCAGCACAACCTCTTGATGTTGCCTTTTGCAGACTTTGGGGGTTTTGCCATGGGTAAACTGTGCTCAGTAGATATGTCTTGTCTCCTGAGTCACTGACCTGAGGAAGAGCTTTAAGTCACCAAAGGCATGAAAGCTGGGGCAGGAGGTTTCTCCTGTCTCTCCCACAGGGGAGGGTACTATGCATGCCAGGTCCTGGGATACAAAGAGAAATGACGATTCCTAATACACCAAAGGGCTCCTCCAGAGAGCGTGTGAGGCATTGGACAGATACCAAACCCCCCCTCAAGCTACAGAAGAGTAACAATGGATATTTATGAACACAGAACACTAAATGGACGTATATGTTGTGGTGAACGTTTTGATGATCTTAAAGATGTGGTCAGGTGTTACAGGTATTTGGCTAGGTATTATTATAGGATTAGGTATTACGGTAATAGATATTACAGAGGTTTTCTTAAGCGCTTAAGTTTTAATTACATGAATCTTTTGCATGTTGTCAGCATATTTCTGAAATAACAACACATCCCAATATGTCCCAGTTAGAATTTCGCCCATGTAAAAGAGCAGCAGTGACCTCTAGCTTTGTCTTTCAAGCAAACCTAAGGAAAGCAACACTTACCATGTTTGATTTAATCGTGAAATTTATTAAGCCTTAAGATTTAAGTAAACTAAACCTAAAATTCTGACAAGATGAAAACTGAATACATAGAAACAATTACGGTTGTTATACTATCAGTGACAATACGTCCTGCCCACCGATTAACAATACTTGCCTCTCTTTAGTTTTTAACAGAATGGTCTATTTTAACAAAAGGCCCAGATCCATCACAGGTTAAACGGGCCCCATAATGAATTAAAGCCTTAGGAAATTGAGTCAGCGACTTTCCACCCGCCCCGATGGCCTCCGCGGTCGCCCCTCCCACTTGGGGGGGGCA